GAACACAACATGCAGGACAGTGGCCCTGCAGGACCAGGACTGGACACCCCTCCTTTAGACGCACCTTGATTGTGAAATGAACTTCAGTTGTTTTTACATTGTATCGACATGATTCCCTTAAAAAAGGCTGAAGACTTTATTTAGGTCAGCTTTAGATAAAACAGCTTCTTCAGTTCTTCTGACTCTGTGGAAACATCATGAACACTTAATATCTTGTGTGTTGTGCGTAGCTCTTTGAACTGGTCTTCAGTCCTGATCCTCTAGGGCCACAGTCCTGCATGTTTTAGATGTTGCTCTGCTTCAACCCACTTGATGTGAATGAATCTACGGTGGCCCTAAGGTGTCAATGAACAACATTAGAAAAAGCGGAATTACATTTGAAAAGAACTGAATTACATTAAGCCAAACAGGAAGATTTTGTAGTTTTATGCTGTTAATAAAGTCAAATAAATAAAAATAAACTTCCTGTTTGGCTTAATATAATTCCGTTTTTTTCTAATGTGATTCGTTTTTTTTCAAATGTTGTTCATTTACACCTTAAGGCCACCGTATGAATCAGTGAACAGGTTTCTGCAGAACATGAGGAAGAGCATCAATCACGATTGTTCCCAGGAGCGATTCTACAAGCCGACCTTTAGGGGTGCTCAGCCCCCAGTGCTGACAATGGCTCGTGGCCTGAACGACGTGGTGGCCATTGCTGTCAGAAGCCTTTGTAATGGGGGGGGGGGAGTCTGGGGGTCCACCCCCAGAACATTCTGGTGTATTTTAACAGGTTTTTAAACGTCTCCATTTACCTACATAATTAAACACTTGATTCAGTAACTATCTTAGCAAGAATGACGCAACAAAAAGTAGCGCTAAGCTAGCAGCGTGCAATACAGATGTGCTAGCTAAGATGCTACAGACGTAGCGCTCCGCTTTACTTTACACAACCTAATAAACATTTGTACAAAATCAGTTTAGTGTTGACTGATCAGAACAATCAAAGCCTAAACTCATGCAACCAGAAGTTACAACAGAACAAAGAACTACTAGCTTGAAGCATTAGCCTTTAATCTAACCATTAGGAATACAGTAACTATGTAATTATGACGGAAAATGGAAGATTTACCTGCAGTGACCTTCGTAGAGATGAACATGTGGTACTTCCTGTTTATAACCGTCAGCTGCTCATGAGGTCGACCACAGGGTTTTATCATCTTTTACATTTTCCAGACTCTGTTCAGGTTTTTGAAATGGAATTATATTCTCTAAACACTCGGGGTAACGTGTCTGAACTTCATGATACAACGCAAATATAAAGCATCCATAAAGCAAAACCTTGACAATGTGGTCAGAAGAAAAGTGGGTGGAGCTCTGCAGGTAAGGGGCGTTCACTTCAGGACAAAGTGCTGACAAGTCTGCTGGATTGATTGACAGGTGGAGTCGAGGAGCCGACTCGTGCAAAAACAAATCATAGATTTTACTGGCCCATTTGCGTCATCGTTTATTCCAAATTTGTTCTATATTCTGGTGAATATGAGTTTTGAGAACTGAGTTTTCTTACCAAATCTTACAAATCTGTTCTGTTGGAATATCTTTTGAATTATTCTGACCAACTAACTGAATTTAGGGAGACTGGATCGATCAGCACGAGCTGTACGTGCTCCCTTCGTCACGCTGCCCCTCTGCACACTGACAGCGAGTCTGCAGGAAGTTTCACACATTTCCACTTAAATTCGGAGTCCTTTCTGTTATGCAGCCGCTCTAGTGTTGCTTTGAATCGCAGCTCGATCGAGCGCTCTAAAGTCGAGCGCTCTAAAGTCGAGGCACGTTCACAGGCTGGAGGCGCTGCAGCAAAGAAGCAGCCCGACAGCAGAGACGATCCTGAGACGAACCCTGACCCGCGTGGAGAGAGAGGTCCTGGCGAGGAATGCCGGAGCCAGACGCCACGGATCCAAGAAATAACAAACGGCAGCGGCGAGAGGGAAACACAGTGACCCGTTCTTCAGTGAGGCTGACCCTGCAGGGACAGAGATTCATTAAAGAGACGCTTGAGGCCCAGTCGGAGAGCAGACTCTTCACAAGGATATTGCACTCCTCAGACAGCAGGGAGGTCCATGGAGCAGGAGGCCCAGAACCACCGGGTCATCTGCGGAGAGATTCATGAAACGGAACAGAAAGGAACAAGAACACCGATGTGCCCTGTCGCTCAGGGACTTGAACAGTGAATGTTTGTAGTTTTTGATTTGAGTGTTTTTCTGGACTGGAGTTAACTGGGGGGGTGTAACCCCCTTAATGCTTTGGTGAAAGAGATTCAAGTGGGGAGGGGTTACACTGTGCAGCAGAACAGACGTAGTTTTTTCTTCTTGTCCGAGGCGTGCAGAGTGACGCATCCTGGTAAGTGCAGGGACTAATTTTATGCATGACCCAGTGCAATGGTGGAGCCAGAGGGTGGCCAGTGGTGGCCTTGGGCACCATACATTAATTTTCAGCCACCCCAGTCTTTAGTGGAAACTATAGAATATAAAAACTAGAAAGCATAGTTTTTTCAAATTATAGGGCTGGCCAGTTTACTTATATGTTGGTGGCCATTTTGGATTTTGACTTGGCAACCCCATTTTTTGGGGGTGACCTTCCTTTTGCCTCGATGCAGCCGCACACCAAAATAGAAGTTTGCACCTCCACTTTATTTTTCATGTTATTGCGTTCACTACGTGCACAGACAGACAGATGGGGGGCTTTTTCAGTTCCCCATTTGTTTCTTTTTACACTTTATATTTTTGGTGTAACTGGGACCCTGAGTACATAATTTCATTCCACCTCATGCACCACATGTGATGAGAATGATAATAAACTTGAACTTGCTCCATGATGGGGGGAAAAAGAACAATAACTTTAAAAACTTTAGTGTGAGCTTTATGTAAATTCATTTAATATATAATTGTTTACATTGTTAATTTAAAAATAGAATCCACTTCACTTACAATCATTAGGCATTCTTTGTTCTTTTGACTTTCTGTTAGCAAAATATCTCATGAACCTTTGGACGGATTTTAATATAATTCCTCTACATCAACTTTAGGAGTCAACCATTTCAAGATGGCTGCCACAGTTAACTTATCTTTAAAAACACAAAAGTGGTCATAACTCGGTCAATTTTCCAGATTATTATGATAAAATCTGGTGTGGTAGTAGCTGAGAGTCATTTTCAACACATACTTTAGTTTGAACAGGTCTTGTGATGTCTTCTACCGTGAGGTTCTAATTATTATTTACAAATTTGACCAAAATATCTGTAACTCCGTCTCTGCTCATCATAAAATGATCTTATTTAAATCTGGCATAAAAGACGGCCGGCAGCGGGCGACATGCATTCCTTCAAAAAAAACTAGGCTTTAACTTTATCATATTTTATTTACACTCGGTCTACAGCAGGGTGTCAGCTGGTATTAAACAAAATGTTTTCAAAACTGAATGATGTCATAGTATTAAAAAAAACATAGTAGTACTGTAGTATTGGAAGGTTAGCTTTATGCTAGCAGAGCCTCAGATTATGAGAGGACGGGCTGTTTCACAGATTATCTCCATCCTGTCCCTGCTCACAGCAGGCTAGCTGTATCTCAGTGTGTTACCCCCTTTTTAATATTTATCTGGCTGCCGGTTAAATTCCACGTTCTTGGGATGATTGAGCAAAGAGCTGTGTCAGAGATTTGTCTTGGAGGTCATTTCTGTCTGAGACTGATCGCAGTTTTGAATTTCTAGATGAATTATTCTGATTTTTATAAGACTTGAGGGGAAATACTGTGTACGCTTCCAGCTTTGGTCCTGTTTCTGTTGGAACTGGAGATCTGTGCCGGAGACGTTGGCACCGGGACAGAAGAGGTATTGAACGTTTGCAGAATCTCTGCAGGCTGTCGGCAGATAATCGTCACAGATAATTCACAGAACTCCTCGTTTAGCTTCTTTAGCATCTTCTTCATCCCACCAGCATGCAGGAGCTCCCTCATTCAAAACTGATCGAGTCAAACATGAAATATTTAAAACCTTTTCGTTGTTTTATTTTTCAGACCTTGCAAAGCGTATGGTGTGTACTTCCACTTGCTTTTATTTGTCTACTCTGGAACAGTGCTGCAAAATTGTTCTTATGACAAATCCTTTCATTTTGGTCAAAATACAAAAATCTCCGCCACTTTTACAGACAATGAGCTAAAATTTGGCGTGGAAGTAGCTGAGAGTCATTCCTAACACGTACTTTGAGCAGTAACTGACCGTGCAAAACCAGTTTTTATGATTTTAGCATAAACTATATGCAGTCAGCACCCTGTTTGCAAAATATCTCAAACAATTGGACAAATTTTAATGAAACTCTCAGAAACTGATTATTAAATGAGCATCTACAACTGATTAACTCTTGGAGTCAACTCTACTCAAGATGGCCGCTACAGCTAATTGGCCTTAGTCAACACAAAAATGGCTACAAGTCAGTTTTCAGATTTGGAGTTAAATTGCTGTGTGGTAGATGCTAAGTCTGCAACTAATATCATGAACAGTAACTGCTCACTTGCATATTTTTTGTTTCTTTAATATTTTTGTGCACGATTGCACATCTCCATTTAAAGTGTCTGTGCTGCTTTAATGGTCAAAGATCTAAAATGGTCAACAGGTTCAGGGATTAATATTGTTTATATATCTTCAAGTTGCATATCAGATGTAAATATAGACATGAAACCATCTGCAGGTTTGTTGGTGATTTTACATTTGCAGTCCAGAACCAGTTTGTAAAATAATCTCATCGTTGTTTTAAACGATCTGAGCTGAAGTTCCTGCAGTTTGATCAATATTCTGATTCCCGACAATCAAGTGGATAAGATCGTTTCCTGTCTGAGCAGAACCCTCTCTGTGTTATACAGAGTTTTATCTGAACGTTTCATTCAGAGCACAACTCTTTAGTTTGAATCACATTTAACTGGGAGGTTTATCTCTTCAGTGGGATTCACTGTTGTTCTGTTGTTTCCCAGGTCCGTGGGGGAGATGCATGGGCAGCGACTGTGGTCCGGGCGGCAGCCAGAGCCGAGCAGTGTGGTGCGCCCATGTGGACGGCTGGACCACGCTCCACACGAACTGCGACCAGGGTCAGCGTCCCTCCAACCAGAGAAACTGTTTCCGAGTGTGCGACTGGCACAAGGACCTGTACGACTGGAAACTGGGTGCCTGGAACGAGTGTGTGCCGGTGTCGGCAAGGACCTTCGGGGCCCCACGGCTGTTCACGTGCAGCGGAGGCGAAGAGGGCATTCAGACTCGGGAGGTGGGCTGCATGCTCAAGTCTGATGGGTCTCCAGCAGAGGATGCCATCTGTGAGTACTTTGAGCCCAAGCCTCGCCTGGAGCAGGCGTGCTTGATCCCCTGCCCTCAGGACTGTGTGGTTTCTGAGTACTCGCCGTGGACTTCCTGCTCCAAAACGTGCGGAACAGGCCTCAGGAACAGAGTACGCAGCGTCCTGGTTCCTCCGCTTTTTGGAGGCTCCATTTGTCCCAATCTCACTGAATTCCAGTCTTGTAAACCAGGAACCTGCACGGGTCCGGAGGGCCTGTACAGTCTCAGGGTCGGACCATGGAGCCCTTGCGCCCTACCTCAAACACGGACAGCACGGCAGGCCAAACGCAGGAAAGGTAAAGGCCAAGGCCTCAGGGACCGAGCAGGAGTTAAAGATCCGGAGACCAGGGAACTTATTCAGAAGAAGCGGTCCAGGAATCGACTGAACCGGCAAGAAAGTCCCTTTTGGGACATCCAGGTGGGGTTTCAGACCCGGGAAGTGATCTGCATACATCGCAACGGGAGCAGCGTTGGACGCAAGTGAGTAGAAACGTTTTTTTATTCTACGCAACTGCAGCTCTAATGTTGTTGTTTTTCACTTTTATACCATAGACAACACTTGCTGTGTGCCTCTATTATACATCTACATTATAGATAGATATACACATATAGATATACACATATAGATATACACATATAGATATACACACATAGATATACACACACAGATATACGTTTTGTGTCTGTGAGAGCTGCACACGTCAGAGTTGTCCTGAATCTTTTCCCCCCGCTGTCAGGAGGTGACACATTGAGGAGGATGTTTATCGGCTGCGTCGTCGTCGCTGCTCTGCTGTCGGAGCAATGAGCCACAACTGCCGGTGCAGTGAATGTGATGTCGCGTTCAGAGGAAGGAAGCTGCAAAAAAACAAGACTCCTCCTCATGACACGAGATCAATCTTGGCCCTGACTTTGGTATTTTACACAGAGGGATAATTTGGGATGTTTTGTCTTGTGGACTTGACGTCCCGTTTTATCACAGTAACATCAACTCGATCAGACGGCGAATAAAAAATGAATTTATTGTCAAGTGATGAAAGTCCCAGCACAGCGTTGTATATAACGACGGCTGTTTTTACATGAGGAATAAAGACCAACTAGACGACTTGCGTTTGCAAAAATTCTGAAGCGTTTAAAATAATAAACCGAATTTTGTTTTAAATAAGCAGAAAAGTAGCTAAAATAACACGTATAAGCTAAAATCAGCCGAACCGTAGCCGACAGCTTCATGTTTCAAAGTACGCATGAATGCTAAATAAAACGAAACTGCAGCGCTTTTTGATTTTACGTTGTAACTGCATCATTTTTTAATGTATTGAGGAACAAATAAAATACATTTGCACACAGTTTCAGGATAAACGCAGCAGTTATGTCCATTTAAACGTAGTGTGACGCGACGCATGCACCCAAATATTTCTGTACGAGCATCAACAAGAAAAGAGCCCTGACCTCAGAACGGTGCCTTCAGTCGGATACTTTTCAAACTAGCTACGAGCTGAAGTTAGCAACGCAGCAGCTAAAAGCTACAAGGAGCATAAACAGACAAACATAGAGCAAGTGTGCTGAGGAAGATTTTAGAGAACATTTTTGCTGTAATTAATGAGATTTTAATACGATTCTATGAGGGAGTTTATTCTTTGTAAAAAAAAAATAAATAAATAAGTTAAAGAATTCAAAAAGTATAAAAGTTACAAATACTAAAAATCACACCAGACTCTTTCCAATCGAACGTTTTGACATTTGAATAGTCAGACGTGAACAAAGTATGGAATATAAAGAAGAACCTCTACAGAGAAGAACTTGTTAAACGCTGAATCACCGTTTGTACAACAGCGCTGCAGTCTGAACGACTTGATGTCAGAAATGAGCCCAGTAGAAGCTGCTCTTGTGAATGAACGTGGTAATTTTAATCATTCTGATGAAGTAACAATCAAAGCTCCACAAAGCAGATGATCAGTTGTCGCCGACTCGTGCTTTCAGAGGGTTCTCATCTAAAATACATTTTTTAACTCCGAGTTCATCCTGGTGGGATTTAACTGGTTGGACCCGTCATCACGTCTGCTGCCACACTGAAAACAAGAGAAAAGAAACGTCAGCTTCTGTTCACTCGACTATTTTACCATCAAAATGATCCTCCCCGTCTGTCGCTGACCGGGCGGCACCAATAATGTAAACTCCACCGCTGCTTGGTTTAATCGCTAAAGAACCTGAACTTGTACTGAAGGTTCATGTTGGACTCTTCAGGCAGTGACACAAACAGATGAAGTGAAAATGTTATTCTACATTTAACGCTTTTCATAAATTACCACTTGGACTTTTCCTGATCATCTCCAGCCGTGAGTTTTGGGACGATGAGCTGCTCATAATTTAACAGAAGATGAGCTGAAGGCCACCAGGGAGACGTTCTCATGAAGGAGTCGAGCTGACTGGGCCTCTTCTAGCCAGGTTCTGCTGGTGATCCGTTTGCTCAGCTTGAATCTTAAGTTCAATACTTCTTAAAGCTTCTGTGAAGCAAATACCATCTTATACAGGTAGTACTTCATTGGTCTGTGAAGGTTGTTGGAGACACAAATACTCAAGAACGTACACAAAGTTCACCTGGGATCACATTGACCAGAGTCCCCCGACAGTGAGCTGCTTCCATCACTCCACCTTGTTTCGTGTTTTTAAACTCGGCTAAGTGCTGGCCATGAACTGGGGTTTCCTTCCTCTCACAAAGCCTGTGATCTTCAGAACAGAACCGGTGCCAGCATCAACCGCGCAGGCTTTTATCAATCTTACATTTCTGTCACACACACTGGAAGTTTTGATCAATTATGCACTCAATCAATTCATTAATGCTTTGTTAGTGTGGGGCTTTCACCAGCGGCTGCGATCAGCTCTCTTAAAGGAACCTTGAAAACAACTCGCATGCCCCGAGGAGCATAAATATTAATCCTTGACTTGTTTATTTGCTGCTCTGCATTATTTATGGTTGTTTTTGCGACTTGTGGAAAAGTGGAACAAACTCCAGAGCTGGTCGATTCCTCGCCAAACCCGGAACATCTTGCTCGCTTCGTTTCTGAATTTGTTTGATGAACATCTGTCTTTGGGACGCTTCTTTCTCCGTAGTCCCCGACTCCGTCCCAGACAGGCAGCGTTCTTAAATCTGACTTTCCTTTTTTCTGTCCTTGTTGATCAGACCTGCTTGCTGCTGAGGGGGGATGTTAAAACTTTATCACATGTAGTGCACGACACGAAGGCACAATGTCGACCGCACTTTTTCATTGAGATTGTATTATTAATAAAAAGTTGTCAACCGTTCTCAAAGTTGGTGTTTGTCTCGGTATTTCTACCACACGATGATGAACTCTGACAGTTTGTCTTAGACCCAATTCTTAGGAAAAATCTGTGAAACCTCGAGGCTTAAAATGAGATTTTTCTGCATCGGCCCATTTATTTAAACAGAAACTGATTGTCCTCATTCTATCTGAATGACTGAGATGAAGCAGCAACTTTCTTATGCAACTTTGAAATCTACATCAAAATGCCCCAGCGTGCACACAACAAACGGGGAGGACTCCACGGAGCCACACTGAAGAGAGAAATTGGGTCAGCGGCTGCATTAAGGGCCTTTTAAACACAAGAAGTTCCATCTGAGACATGAAATTGAGCCATCACCCTTAGCGAGTCACATTCGCTGTTTAAATTTCTCATTGTTGTCCTCTGAGCAAAACGAGCCGGCACACCGTGTGCGCTTGGCAGAAAACCCAAGATTTTCAGTGTCGCTTCAGCACCTCTTCAAATTCTGCAGAGGTGTTTTAATCTGCAACGACTCACGAGTTAGAGGAAAGAAAAGCTAAAGAGAACCACAGCATTTCCTGATTCATGCCCAAATCTAAGATGCTGGAGGTGAAGTGTGGCAGCGTCTAAATGAGAGCTTTCTAAATGAAGCAGAGCTGTAATTAGCGCTAATAGCTCATCAGCTGCATTACCTCGGGGGGGAACCACTTCCAGAATGAGTTTCAGAAAACAGCCGGCTTTGGTTTGAACAAATGTCTAATGATTGGAAAGGGACCCGAGGAGAACAGGTAACGCATTGCTTCCAGACGATCAAAAGATGAGGGCGAACAGTGGATCAGAGTGCGTTTTGGTCGTCTCACCTCTGACGTATTGATTCCAGAATCAAAGTTTATTCCTAAAGTGAAAATACGTGTGTTTAAAAATGGCTTCACTGTGGAATCAAAGTAAACAATACTCAAACTGAAGATTTATCATTTTCCCAGAAATTACTTTTTAAAATCGATGAACTAGGCAGCACGGTGGCCCAGTTGGTAGAGCTGCTGCCTCTCAGTGAGAAGGTCTCCGGTTCAAATCCCGACCGGGGGCCTTTCTGGGTGGAGTTTGCATGTTCTCTCCGTGCTGCGTAAGTTTTCTCCAGGTACTCCAGTTTCCTCCCACAGACCAAAAACATGCATGTTAGACTGACTGGTAACTCTGGATTGTCTCTAGGTGAGAGAGTGAATGGTTGTTTGTCTCGATTGTCTCCATGTGTCCCTGTGATGGACTGGAGACCTGTCCAGGTGTCCCTGTGATGG